GAGCTCAATGAAGTTTGAGACCAGCCTGAGCAAAAGTGAAACCCCCATCCCTAAAAAAAAAAAAAAGAAAGAAAAAGATGAAAACATTTAAACAGAGACTGAAAGGAGGGAGGGAACAAGAGATAAGAATACTTGGGAGGGGGCGGCACCTGTGGCTCAAAGGAGTAGGGCGCCAGCCCCATATGCTGGAAGTGGTGAGTTCAAATCCAGCCCTGGCCAAAAAAAAAGAATACTTGGGAGGACAAACAGCTTACACCAAGACTCAAAGACAAAAAGGCTCTTGGTGTGCTCAAAAAAGAGCAGGAAGCAAGTGTAGGCCACGTGTGGGGGCTCACATCTGTAATCCCAGCACTCTGGGAGGCCAAGGCTGGAGGATCCCTGGAGCTCAGGAGTTCAAAACCAGCCTGAACAAGAGTGAAACCCCCATCTCTACTAAAAATAGAAAAAACTAGCCAGGCCTGGTGGCACATGCTTGGAGTTCCAGCTTCTGGGGGAGACTTGAGGCAAAAGGATGCCTTGAACCCAGGAGTTTGAGATTGCTGTGAGCTATGATAATGCCACAGCACTTTACCTAGGGCAAAAAAAAAAAAAGAAGCAAGTGTAATTAGAGCCCGGCGAGGGAAGGGAAGCTAGGTAGATGTAAAGATGAAGAGGTGGCCCTGGTCAGATGGTGCTGGGCCTTGGAAGCCATGGTGAGGACCTGCGATCAGACTACGAGCACTCTGTATCCACCAGGGGGGCATCTCTGCTGTCATACCTTATGCGGTTTCCAGCACCGAAGATTATAATGAACAGCCCCATCTCCTGGAAACTTTGCAAAAAATGCTCCTTCAGAGTCCTGCAAGGATTAGCTAGAAATAACTACAGGCTCCTGACAGTGCTTTGGAAATCTTTGTAAAGCCCTTTAGGAGTTTTAAGGACAGCTGCAAGTGGATGTGTTAAATTAAGCTGGCTCAAGGCCAGTGTTTGCTGTGGTAACTTTCAAAACTCCATGGTAAGCAAAACTAGTTCCTCTATGAGACTGAAAGGTCTCATTAGTGAATTAGAAAAGATAAGAGAGTGGGCTTCTTTGTTGTGTGTTTATTGAAATCTTTTATGCATAATATAAAAGTTTTGGTTATGGAAGTTTTTTTTTAGCAAAAGCTGTCTGAAAAATCTAAGAGGAAAAAGGATGATTAGTTGCAGATAACTTAGTGGCCAGCTGTTTCATTAATTTCTTGCTAAATATTCCTTTTGGAGTAAAGGAATTAATTCTAACTCAAAATAAGTATCCTAATTACTTATAGAATTTAAATTAACTTCTACCTCTTACATGAGAGGAAATCAGTTTGATACAAATTTACATTTTGGCTCCCAAAGTATAAAATGTGTAGGTCATCTTTTAATTTAATTTGTTGTTGTGTTTGGGCAACTCCTGATGGAAAAGTTGATGTCTTGTTATTTCCTCTGCTTTTTATTTTTAGCCACTCTCAAAGACAAATGTCGTAAGTACAGCTTGTTTTTAATTTAGATCAACAATAAGTAATTATAATTCTGTATTTTTAATTTTACCGGTGGTGTTTCCAGAGGGAACAAAAGTGCTTCACCTGTGACTCCAGGCTGCCGTACGATTGGCACACCCAGCCCAATAGTCACACCATTGAGAATGTCATTGCGGGTTTTGAACCAGACAGAGAAAAGAAATGGTGGCAATCCGAAAATGGTAAGATTTAGTTCCTTTACGATGTTTTATTTCTTTATAATTTAATAAAGCATCTTCCTCGCTGTATGGTTTTAATATCACAACAAAGCATTACACTGGAATGGAACAGTATCCAAAAATGTAGAGCCTCACATAAGAGTAACATTTATTTTCATTTTAACAAAAAATATTTCCCTTTACAGGAAAATCAAAGTGTATTTTTGGCACATATCTCAGAATGTTTCACTTTTTCCATGTGGAGGAAGAAAATATCTCTGTATCTCTTTGTTCTTTGTGAAAAATAAGAAAGTTTATGAAGTGTTGGTACATGAAGGCTAACACAAAACACACTAGTGCAAAGGGAACACATCACACCACGGGAAAGCTGAGGGCACCACGTGCTTCTTCCTTCTTCAGCACATGCAGGGGACGAGCCAGAGATTTTAGTATAAAATTTAAATTGAAAGGACAGTAGGCTACTCTCCTTCCCGGATGTCTGCCTTCTCTGTTTGTGAACAGCTGGGGCCTGCACTATCTCTGACCATGATCCACATTTCCTGGACACCTGCTGTCAGTGTGGACCTGATCAGGCTTCCCTTGTGTCGCAGCCCAGCTGTGCATGGCCTCGTGTACCCCGATGCACTTCCCTGTAGGCCAGGCTTCCCAAGCATCGGTGTGTTCACTCACAGTAGCCACTCTGCAACACTGGTCCGGGACCCTTTCAGCGTCCTTAACCCTGCTAAATGATTCCATTCTCCTCTCCACATCTCTACCACTTTGGGCTAAAATCCCTCTGTTCTCTTCAGACCCCTAAGCACATTTCCTTTAGGGAATCCTGAACTGTAAGGAAGTGTGGGAATAATCATATAAGATATCTTAACCAAGTGTAATACAAGTCTGGTTTTTTTTTTTTAATGTCATCCACTCAACATATGTTTAATCGGTGTCTACTAAATGTCATTTCATTTTGAATCCTAGCTATTGATCTGTAGCTGGAGTCCTGTAATGAGTGGGCAGTGACTGTTGCCATAGCCACCTGTCCTCATGATGGGTGCTGCCTTGTTTCTTAACGGCTGCTTTGACCCCCGCATCTCTTCACAAGCTGATTACATAAAACAGGGGTTCTCAACCAAGCACTTTAGACAGGGGAAAGTAGGTCTCTTTTCTAGAAAGGCCTGCGAGGCCTTGGTGTTAAGCCTGAAATGCAGCAGGTGCTCAGAGGAAACGCTGTCCTGAGCCTCTCACCCCAGACTGTCAGCTGCACCCCAATTTTCTGAGGCCCAGACACTGCTGTCAAGAGCCATCCTACATTGTAGCTACTGAGTACTCGAGCCGTGGCTGATACAAACTAAGTTAGGGTCTAAGTATAAAACATCCCAGATTTCTAAGACTTATTTTGGAAAACACAAATGTATTATAAAGAATTACTAATTTTAAAAATATTGATTACATGCTGAAATAGTAATTTTTATATCTATTGGTTTAAGTGTATTATGAAAAATAAATCTACCTGTTTCTTTTTGCTTTTTTAAATGTGGCTTCTGGGAAATTTAAAATGACATACATGACTCCTATTTCTGTTGAGTAGTGCTGTTCTAGAGCGATCTAAGCTGCCATCAAGTCTGGGTTAGGGCTGAAGCTGTGCACTCTCTAGATGGATTGGTGCTATTAGCTCATTGCAGAGACCTGCCCAGGGGCCTTCCATCATCTCCCAGTCGTAGAGGAGCCCAGTGATCCCCACTGCTGGAGAAATATTCCAAGCTGCGTTGTCTGCCAAGTGACAATAAAATTCTGATTCAAACAACTGTTAGCAGATGCTGGAAGAAAGGGATGTGTTGGGTTTTGCTGAGCTCCGGCTCATTAACTCATGTTCATGTGCAGCCGAGGTTTGCGTACAAGGAAATGAACCCTCTCTTTGCACCTATGGGAAACTCTGAACTCCCTTGGTAGTGTGTAATGCTGCCACACAGTGGCCACGTGTGTTGCCACCAAAACATAGATATGGGCACAGTTAGCGTAAAAACAACCCCATTAAAAAGGGGGTGCATGCCAAGAACAGAAGCTTTTCAAAAGAAAATAGGCAGGTGGCCAATAAATATATGAAAAATGTTCAACGTTTCAACGTTACTAATCATCAGGGAAATGCAAATTAAAACCACAATCAGATATCACGTTACCCCTGCTAGAATGGCTTTTATTAAAAAGTCAAAAAACAATCGATCCTGTCTTGGATGCAGAGAAAAAAGGCACACTTATGCATTGTCAGTGGGCCTGCAAATTAGCACAACCTCTGTGGAAAACAGTATGGAGATTCTTCAAAGAACTAAAAGTAAAAGTAGAATGCCATTCAACCGGGCAATCCCATGATTGAGTAACTACCCACAGTAAAAGATGTCTTTCTAGCAAAAACCATCTGCACTCAAATGTTTATTGCAGCACAATTCACAATTGCCAAGATGGAAAATCAACCCCAGTGCCCATCAAGTCATGAGTGGATTAATCAAATGTGGTATATGTATATGGTATATGTATACCATGGAGTACTACTCAGCTATAAAGAGGATGGATTAATGCCTTTTGTGACAATCTGGATGGATCTGCACTCAAATGTTTTTTGCAGCACAATTCACAATTGCCAAGATGGAGAATCAACCCCAGTGCCCATCAAGTCATGAGTGGATTAATCAAATGTGGTGTATGTATATGGTATATGTATACCATGTAGTACTACTCAGCTATAAAGAGGATGGATTAATGCCTTTTGTGACAATCTGGATGGAACTGGAGACAATTCTCCTAAGCAAAGTATCTCAAGAATGGAAAAACAAACACCACAGTACTCACCATTAAACCAGAGCTAGCTGATGAGCACACACGGGAACGGAGAGAAGTAAAACTCAGTGAAAATCAAGCAGAGGAGGGGGGAAATGGGAGGGGCAAAAACCTACCCAGTGGGTACAATGGACACTACCTGGGTGATGGGCACACCTATCGCCGTGACTCAAGCATTGCAAAGTGGCACGGGGTACCACTCCAACAGATTAGGGAAGAGTGTTTATCAGCAGCCACGTGACTTCAAGGGGACTTTATTCTAGACAAGCCCCCACAGGCAATTCACATGTGAAGCTGGGGTCTCTCAAAATCGCTGATTTTCTTCTTTCTGGATTTTCTTTAGGTCTTGATCATGTCAGCATCAGATTGGACCTGGAGGCATTATTTCAGTTCAGCCATCTAATCTTGACCTTTAAGGTACAGCTATATAACCGTGCTGCCCCTTCAGTCCCTAGATGCTCCGTGTTTACCTGGAATTTCACTTCCTTTGCAGTAAACAAAAAGCAGAGTAAACTCGGGCTGAGTCTTTTCATCTAGGTTTTCCGCTCTTGAATGTAAAAAAGAAAACACTGCTGGTTAATCAATAACTATATTGTTAATAAGAAGGAATCCTAGGAGACACAGAGAAAAGGAAACTCTAAGTATGGGAGTGATAGTGACCACAAGAACTACCAAGGTAATTTTCAGAAAAGAAGGGCAAAGATTAAAAGTTATTTAGGGAAATGTGGAAAGATGATGATCAACATGGGAAGAAAAGTGAAAGAGTCTGTAAGGTTAGTCAGATGCCAGTCTTACTTTAATCCTTCATCAAAATTTAATTTGGATTTTGGGACTGGTCCTAGTTTTGGTAATAAAAAATAAATAGAAAATTAAAAATGAGAAAAAGGGGGAAAAACAGCCTTTGCCCCCAAAGAACTCACAAGGATAAAAATATATAAGTAGAAAATAATAATATAAATTATAATAAAATTATATAAAATTATAATAAAATATAGATTTGATTAGCATGCTGAGGAATTTAGGGTAAGCGGCAAAGCCGCTCTGGAGAGTCAGGGTAAACTTCCTGGATGGGTTTTGAAGGATGTCAGCGTTTGCCGGAGGAAAAGCATTATAGGCAGAGAGATCCACAACAAATGGCTGTAAAATATTAATCACATCACCTTTTCACTTTACATGCCATCTTTCTTCAATTAATAATTCATATAGCTATAAACATTTAACATTGAAATTACATTATGAAGACAAAGTGTGTATTCATACATCTTTGCCCACTGATCGGGACAAGACCTGGGTATTTTTTATTTGAGAAGATACACTCAAGTTTTTAAAATGGAATTCGGAAATATAAATATCCAATCTGAAGTAGATAGAGTCTGCCTTGGAGAAACATTTCACCTGTCACTCGTTTCTGCAGACGTTTCGGCCTGCGGCAATGTTCATTGAACGCTCCACTGACTACGCACACACCTGGAAAGTGCTCAGATACTTTGCCAAAGACTGTGCTGCTTCCTTTCCCAATATCACGTCTGGCCAGGCCCGGGGAGTGGGGGACATTGTCTGTGACTCCAGATATTCGGATATTGAACCCTCAACTGGTGGTGAGGTAGCATTTCCTTACTTGTATATATTTTTTTTACTTATTAAAGCAAACTTCTTAAAAATAAGGTTTACTTAAATGAAAGAAAAAATTAGGTGTTTACTGAAATGTAATTGGAGCTGTGTTTTTTTTTAAATGTGTCTAAATTGAAGTGAGTCCAGTATAAGAAATAATAAATAGATTAACAAATAGATTATTAGAAGTAATCCTACACAAGAGTGCCCAGCTAAAGATGAGCTGGGGCCAAAATTGAAACTGAGCACCAGAATACCCAGAGGCAGGAACAGCTGTTTCTAACCCTAGCCATGCAAGCTAACAGTAGCCCTGGCTTGGCCATCTCATTCTCATGCTCTGTAAACCACCACCCCAATGGAATCCACCAGGAACATCTTTCTGCACAAAGCTGGTGACTGGTAGGGCGGCAGGGTGGCATTTTACCAGGTAAAGCAGAAAGAATTAGTGGCAGAAGACAGCTTAGAATTCCCTCCCAGATTCAAATTGATAATGGCTTACTCCATTAGCAACTATCACTCTATCCCATCTAAGCTCAGGTGCCCTCTTCACCATTTCTTTTCTTTCTTTTTTTTTTTTTTTTT